ACCCTCACTCAGAGAAGCATTTATAATCCCCTGGAGCCAGCCGCGTGTAACCTCCCAGGAGGCCAGTACCAACCAGAAGGGACACGGGTCCAATAAACATGTGGCAGCGTTAAGCTTGCCCAGAATCCTGTCCACGTCCTCAGGAGTCACAGAGTCAAACTCTTCCCAGATAACGCTCTCAAGACCTGCCCCCGTCTCCTCCCCTGGATCTACCCAATCGGAGTCCAGGCCTTCCCAAATCTGAGCGACTTTATCATGCAGGAATTGTACAAAATCCTCAGCTCGACCCTTTAAGGGATCTTCCTGTACCCCCACCTGAAGTAGGGAGTGGGTCACCCTAAACAGCGCGGCTGGGCGGTTCTCTGCAGATGCAATAAGAGCGGAGAAGTAGCTAGACTTCGCCGCTCTTATCGCCACTAGGTAGGTCTTAATATAAGATCTCACCTGTGTTCGGTCAGATTCAGATCGGCTTGACCTCCAATCGCTCTCCAGGCGTCTTTTCCGACGCTTCATCTCTCTCAGCTCCTCGGAAAACCAAGGAGCTAGATGAGATCGGCATCGGGTCAGAGGCCGCAAAGGCACGATGCGGTCCAAGGCCCCAGTAGCCGCCCTGTCCCAGGCAACCACCAGGTCCTCAGTCAAGTCGTGAGCCAGAGTCTCAGGAAATGGTCCAAGCAGATGACACAACAGTGATCAATCTCATTCGAGACAATGATGAATCCGCATACAGACGGGAGGTTGAATAACTAGCCTCGTGGTGCAACCGGAATAATCTGGAACTGAACACACTTGAAACCGTAGAAATGGTGGTAGACTTTAGGAGAAACCCTCCCATACTGCCACTCTTACAATACTAGGCAACACAGTATCAACAGTAGAGACCTTCAAATTTCTAGGTTCTACCATATCGCAAGATCTAAAATAGACAGCTAACATCAAAAATGTCATCAAAAAAGCACAACAAAGAATGTTCTTTCTGCGCCAACTCAGAAAGCTCAAACTGCCCAAGGAGCTGCTGATACAGTTCTACAGAGAAATTATTGAGTCTGTATCTGCATCTCTATAACTGTCTGGTTTGGTTCTGCAACCCAAGAAGACAGACACAGACTTCAGAGGATAATTAGAACTGCAGAAAAAACAATTGCTACCAACCTGCCTTCCATTGAGGACCTATATACCGCACAAGTCAAAAAGAGGGCTGTGAAAATATTTACAGACCCCTCACATCCTGGACATAAACTGTTTCAACTCTTACCCTCAAAACAACACTATAGAGCACAGCACACCAGAACAACTAGACACAAGAACAGTTTTTTCCTGAACGCCATCTCTCTGCTAAACAAATAATTCCCTCAACACTGTCAAACTATTTACTAAATCTGCACTACTATTAATCTTCTCATCGTTCCCATCACCCATCTCCTTCCATTTATGACTGTATGACTGTAACTTTGTTGCTTGTATCCTTATGATTTATATTGATATTGATTGTTTCCTGATTGCTTATTTGTACCCTATGACTATCATTAAGTGTTGAACCTTATGATTCTTGGTGAACGTATCTTTTCTTTTATGTATACTTAGAGTGTATGCACCAAGACAAATTCCTTGTGTGTCCAATCACACTTGGCCAATAAAAAATTCTATTCTATTCTGTTCTGTTCTGTTCTGTTCTGTTCTGTTCTGTTCTTGTTCTTCTGTTCTATTCTATTATTCTATTCTATTCTATTCTATTCTATTCTATTCTATTCTATTCTAATTCAGACCAGCATTTTTTCTGGGAAAAACTTTGAGCAACTGCTTTATCGTATTTCTTCGTAGGTTCTGGATCCACAAAAGATGGTAGTCAGCCCACACAGGATTTTCATAATGCATAATTCATGAAACACTACCATAGTACAGGGGTGAAAAATGAATGAATATTAGATTTCAGTGACCAGCATCTTTGTTCTCACCTAAGAATCAGCCCAACATTGGTCACTCAAATCAGAACCTTATAGATTGGGAGAGAGGAAAGAAATTGTTAGTTTTACCATCTGATCCCAAGGCCCCTACTTCACCATTGCTAATCTACTATCTTGAATGACACTGTAAGGGCTAATTATTTTATGTGGCTGGTCAAATCATTTATTTTGTCTGTAGTCTAATTTAAAAGTACTATCCCAATTTCACAGCACTATTGTGTGTACAATTAAATGGAAAAGAACCAGCAAATTGTTATACTTCTTTAAATCTCAATAATCAGTTCTGTTGTATTATTGTAAAAGGCATCATTGTTTTTCATTAACTGTTCTTCTCTTTGTATGTAGTTTTCTCATACTATTTTAGAATAATAATGATAAAAATGTAATGCTATCAGCAATAGCACGTTAAGATCACAGACCTGCTCTCAGTGTATTTGTTTGAAATTTGCATAGAAGTTCCTTAAGTCCCTAAATGTCTTGGTCAGCTGCTGTCCTTTATTAGCCCCAAAAGGCTTCAATTGTGTGACAATTGCTACCATATCTGATGAAAAATAAATAAATAACATCCAGTGTGTTTTTCCCAAATATAAGAGTTGCCTTTGAAAAGATGGGTGGCATATAAGTTTAATAAATATATAAGCCGGTCTCTCTTGATTTTATGATTTTATGGTTGATTTTAAATTTTGATATGGATTTTAAATTGATAAATTTTAAACTATGGGCCAAATTTAATTATTTTAAATCTATTTTTAATCGTACTTTATGTATAAATGTTTTATTTTGGCTGTTCACCGCCCTGAGTCTGAAAGGAGAAGGGCGGTATAGAAATTTGAATAATAAATAATAAATAAATAAATAAGTAAAAAGAGCTGCTTTCCAACACTTGTTCACTATCTATGAACTGAATATGATCAGTTATTATATTAAACTGGAACATGTCCAAAGCTTTGAAACAGATCAGGGGGTGAAATGTAAAATTTGTTACTACCGGTTCTGTGGGCGTGGCTTGGTGGGGGTGATGGTAATGTGACTGGGTGGGCGTGGCCAACCTTTTTAAAAAACTTTTCAAAGTATTTTTTCTGCAAATGCAAAAAAATGCTTTGAAAAGGCTCTGCCAATCACGCAACACAGCTGGGATCGTCAGACCCTTTTCAAAGCATGTTTTTCACCACCTCTTCCCCTGAAGAGGTTGCAGAAAAAAATGCTTTGAAAAGCCTCTGACGATCCCAACTGAGCCGGATGATCATCAGAGCCTCTTTTTTTTTACTTTTAAAAGCATTTTTTCGGTGGAAGAAGTTGTAGAAAAAATGCTTTTAAAAGTAAAAAAAAAAAGCCTCTGATGATCGTGCGGCTCGTGGGCATGGAGGGGGTGTGCAGGGATTTTTGCTACTGGTTCTCCGAACCACCCGCTGCCATCACTACCGGATCGGGCGATCCGGTCCAAACCAGGAGCATTTCACCCCTGAAACAGATTTACTTTCCTCCTATACTAGGAACTTCATGAAAGTTCATTTACTCTGTCAAATTTAAATATTTTTTTTCTCCTTCAGAAAGAGGGAAAGGGGGGAAGCACTTATTTGAACTGGATGTAAGAAAAGATACTCATATACCTAGAATCCCTTTTACTTAGCTCTTATTTATTACTTTGAGACTGTGGCTGTCGTTTTTTCATTCAAACAGAATAAATCCTTTCGAGGTAGGTAAAATGAGGACCCAGATTGTGGGGGCAATAAGCTGACTTATTGCCCTACTAAGGCAATAGCCCTACTAAGCAGGTATATACAAAAAGTATGAAGGCTACTGCTTAATGCATTGTAAGCCGCCCTGAGTCTCCGGAGAAGGGCGGCAAATAAATCGAACCAATAAATAAATGAACAAATAAATAAATCCCAAAGTTTGTAAATATGTAAAATAGCCTTAATCATGATTCTTATTCTTTAGTGAGGTAGTATAAATGGGCATTGTACTGGTTGTTGTTAACTAAATTACTGCATTCTGTGCACCCAATCTAATTTGGTGGTTGTTTCTGTAGGTTTTTTTGATAGTAAGGTTTAAAAGAAAACAAGTAAGCCACTGAATATATTCGGGGGATTAAACAGGCTTCTATACTCAAAGTTCTTCCAACTCAATATTGTTAGTCAGAAGTAGAGGTGGGTTTCAGCAGGTTCTGACCAGTTCTGGAGAACTGATAGCGGAAATTTTGAGTAGTTCAGAGAACCAGTAGTAAAAATTCTGACTGGCCCCGCCCCCATCTATTCTCTGCCTCCCAAGTCCCAGCTGATCAGGAGGAAATGGGGATTTTGCAGTAACCTTCCCCTGGAGTGGGGAGGAAATGGAGATTTTACAGTATCCTTCCCCTGCCACGCCCACCAAGCCATGCCCACCAAGCCACACCCACAGAACCGGTAGTAAAAAATGTTGAAACCCACCACTGGTCAGAAGGCTCATGATATCCAAGACTAGACTATCAATTTGGACTATTGCCCAATAACTCATTTTTCCACCTGTAACTTTGTTGCATTATATCCATTTTGTTTAGTTTTAGTTTTGCATTTATGGGCATATATTTTATACTATTTACCCTTTTGAATGCACACTTCTATTGTATACATTTTAAGAAGTAATTTCTTGAATATATTTTGTATGTTACTTTTCCTTAATATGCACAGATTTATGAATATTTCCCCAAAGTATTCATTTTATGGATATTTGATGATTAAAAAACTCCTTTGAAAAATTCAAAAAAGGATAATTGCGTTTTGATTTACTGTACATGCTGATTCATGCTGTGTGAATTAGGTAAGACTAGTTTCAAAAGTCAAGTCTACCAGTTTCCATACCATTCTTGGGTTTTTTTAAAATTTTGATTCAGTTCAATAATGCCTACCTTATAGTCATCTAATTATTGTAGTTGATATATGATAGATGAATTTATTATTATTTTCTATATATCTTTTTTAAAAATAATTTACATTTGCTGCTGCCATCACATCTCAAAACTAATTCCATGTCTTCGTTATTATTTTTTTAATCCAGATGGTTGCAGTCTGATCTCAAGACTTTGTACCTGCCTGGACACATGCTGATCACATAAAGCATTTGTGACAACCCCAAAGTGGCAGGAGTAATGTCCACTGAAGTGAACGTCCTTTTATTTAAGAGAGAATATGAGTTTTCAATTGATTTTTTTTCCACTTTGTCATCCAACCAAACCAATGACTGAAACTTATTTCCTTCCTAAACTTCTCTAGAACTGAACTGTTTAGGGATTATGAATGAAGTTGGCAGAAATAAAGAACAAAATGAAACATGCATATTGACTATTCTGTTAGAAAACTTACCTATTATTTGTGTTTTGTTTTAGCTTCAGTTAAATTTAGTTTTGCACCCCAACCTAAGAATAATGCATAAAAACAATGTATTAAATTAGAAAAAGAATGTTGCCAAGATTTTCCACAATTTATTTTTGGAGCTTTGGTATGAATTCTTATAATTTCCATTCTTGTCCAGAAGATTAACATAACAGCAAGAATTGATTGATATCCGCCCTCTGAGTAGCTCCTGTGCCAGCAAGTTTCAATGACTCTGGCAGAATATTCTTTTTTGCCTATTTTAGTCATAGTCATGCCTAATTTAATTACTGCTTTCCATCACTGATTCCCCCATCAACATCATACAAATATATGATATGTAGGAGGGGAAACAGTAGATGCCTTTGTGAATTTCTCATAGCTGTTGCAATATGGTGGTGTACAGGACAATTCAGTATTGCTGACTTTGGCTCTATGTTGATATATACAGTACTTAAGCAAGCATCACTTCCTCTGTAAAATGTTAATTGTTTCTGATTCACTATAGCTTGAAGCACATGGATATAACTGTTGCATTTCTGTAATTCACATCTCTGTTTAAATTGAGTTTTGGTCATAAAGACAGAAGAAACTCAGGGTACACACATAGTCCTCTCATGGCAAATTTTCCCTTCAAACTGATTATACCTTTTGTTGTCCACTGGATAGGAAATAATAGATTATTTACCCAACCTAGTCATTTTTCTAATTATCCTTTCTCTCTTTGAGAAACATGCCCTTTTTCTATCAAAACAGAAGCTGAGAGAAAACAAAAATATTGATAGTTGGAATAGGCATGAAGCCCATTTAGCCATGGCATAACTGGGTGTTTAGAAATATCAACGGACTTGACTGAAAAAAAAACCATAAGTACATTAAGATATTCATAAATTTAGTACTGAATGGCTGGACAGATTTTGTACAAATGTTGTGCATATTTTCTGTGTCCATTCAGTTGCCACAGATTTTTTCCTTTAATACAGATTTCACAATAGCTCTTCCTTTGTCTGTTTTTTTATTTGAGGATCACTCTCAATGGTGAAATGTAAAATTTATTACTACTGGTTCTGTGGGTGTGGCTTAGTGGGGGTGGGGGTAATATGACTGAGTGGGCATGGCCAACTTTTTTTTTTAAAGTTTTAAAACCATTTTTTGTACAACCTCTTCGGCTGAAGAAGTTGTAAAAAAAATGCTTTTAAAAGCCTCAGACGATCCCAGCTGAGTTGCCTGATCGGCAGAGGCTTTCTTTAAAAAAAAAAAAAAAAAAGCTTATGACGATCCCAGTTGATTTGCCTGATCGGCAGAGGCTTTCTTTTTCTAAAAAAGCCTCTGACGATCCCAGCTGAGCCATGCGATCATCAGAGAGGTTTTTTTTACTTTAAAAAGCATTTTTTCAGCCAAAGAGGTTGTAGAAAAAATGCTTTTAAAAATAAAAAAAAGCCTCTGATGATTGCGCGGCTCAGCTGGGCATGGGGGGCCCAGGAATTTTTGCTACCGGTTCTCTGAACCACCCACCTCTATCGCTACCGGATCGGGTGATCCGGTCCGAACAGGGAGCATTTCACCCCTGATCATTCTTTTCTCACATATAATCAGGTACAAGTACCTAATATTGTCTGAATGTTGGCACTGATGAAGAGATTATTGTCTCTGAAACTAACAATGCTGCTTCAGCTGCTAATTCCAAGCAAATATTTTCATCTCTGATAAATAAAGTTATCTTACAGAATCAAACTTTAATATGTTCATTTGGCTTGTTAATGTTATTTAGCTAAGAAAATCAAGAACTCATGCTAAATGCTAAAGGAAGTAACACGATTTGAAACGAATCTCCCTGGAAGATTGCACTAGTATAAAATCTCTTTGAAGGTTTAATTGCCGAGGTTTTGTTTGATTCAGTTCACATACAATGTGTTTTACTTTTGTAACATAGAAACAAGTGGAGAATATTCTTACAGCAACACTTTAAACTTATTATATCACAACTTTCAACTTTTGCTATTATTCCCCCATTAGAACAAAAGAAAGAATATTTCATGGGGATCAAAAGTCCTTTTTAATAGCAGAGTCACTGTTATGAGATGGGTACATAATATAAACAAACATCATGCCAACTAGAACTCTGAAAAAGCTATTATAAAACATAATTTTCTGAACTTATTAGAGGTAGTCCTTAATTAGCCATCACTCATTCAGTGACTATTCATAGTTATAATAGCACCAAATGAGGAAATGTATGACTAGTCCTCAGAGTTCTGACCATCAAGATGTCCCTATGATCACATGATTGTGATCTGGGCTCTTGGCAACAAACATGGGGTTATAACAGTCCCGGCATATCACAGGGACTGTCATAATTGTAATTTATGATCTTCATTGCTAGTTTCTGACAAGCAAAGTCCATGGGGAAGCTGGCAGGAAGTCACAAGTCACGGTCATATAATGTTATGCTTAATTGCACACAATTTGCTTAACAACTAACTATAACCAGAATTACCAGAACTGCTGTTATGAGTTGGTGCAGTTGTGCTTTTTTTTCACTTTATGACAATGTCACTTAATAACAGAGTTATCTGTCTCAGTTATTGTTATTACTCAAGGACTACCTGAATCTAGTATGCAGAGGTATATTTCTTCCAAATTTTGGAGATTTACTACTATGAATAACTAGACTATGTATCACCCTTTGGGTCATGTTTTCAGAAATATTTCCTTACCAGATTCCTCAATGCCTTCAACAATGACAGAGCTTCTAATGGGCTACCTTCACTGGAAAAGTTCAGGGAGATATTCAGAGAGGTATCTGCCTTGAAACTAAGTTATTTTGGATTGTAATAGCACAGTCAAATGTCAGGAGTTGAGTATAGGAAATATTTTATGACATTTTGTTTGATATCATACAATGTTTTCTAATATTTTTAATGTCATAAAATGTTTTATAAAATTTGTCAAATTTTAATTCCACATGAATCATAGATAGTAGATTTTGGATGCATTCTGTAACTTAGCCCATTTAAGGTACCTTGGTTAAAAATGGTTGCCTTACACTATCTTGTTTCATAACTCAAATGTTAGTGTGTGTGTGTGTGTGTGTGTACATACACATACATACACACACAGAGAAAGAGAGAGCTATATTCTTCTTCCCAAGAAATACATTGCATGGATACTGAGTTCAAATGGAACAATTCACATGTAACAATGCTTCTAATGTAAGTAAAACAGCAAATTTACAGTCAATATTGGAGAACATTGGTATATGATGTTGTATTAGATGTAATTACCTCAGTGTTCATTGCCAAAATAGACAATTCATTGTCTAAAAATCATTGGAAATGTAATTCTTGTATGGATTTTTTTCCTCCATATTTGGTACTAATGTTGTAAAGCCCAACAATTAAATATAAAAATAATGTATAATAGAAAGTAATACTTTTGAAAGGTAGATTTTTTTTCTTTTCAGTATGTTACAAATATGTCTAAACCTTATATTCTACACTGAACTAGCTTTGTATATAGTAACAACTGCTAAGGTTCTATATGTTTCTTACTGGACATTACTTTTATGAAAAACAGCAAGCTAAGTTATGGGAGTATGTCATGATGTCAAAATTAACCATATGTGAAAAACATGAATATAGAATAATGTGGAACTCATTTTGGATATTAATATTAAAAAACAGGTGCATAGTAGATACAAAGTTTTTATATTACAAAACATAACATTATAATTTTTACTGGCTTGTTCAATTTGCTAAGTTTCTTATATCAGGTAGAAATTATTATAGCTTGAAATGAAGAATAACATAATTTCAGTTTTATTGGTTCTAGTTGATGATTATAACATAATAACCTGATGTTAATATTGACTTATTTTAGCAGTCACATAAAAGTTGAAATACTAAAATATTAGTATCAATCCTAATTTTAGTATTGACGTAAAACTTCAAATTCTTCCATGTGTGTATACAGGTAGCATCAGTTTTCTCCTTACATTCAATGTACACTAAAATGAAAGGAGAGGAGAGTTTTATTTTTTTGATCTGGAAAAAGCTGTATTAGCCAGGCACTACTGCAGGATGATACTATATGAAAAAGATCCAGTGCTAACTTTCCGCACTGCAAAGCAACAGTGGAGGTTATAATAATCCAAGCATACAATGACAGCACTAGACCTTGTCCATAATAAAACAACCTTCTATTCAGCACTTTCGCATTTTCTTAAAGCTGGTTTAGGAATCCACTTTTCAAAATATAAAAGTAACAGCATTTTAGCTTCTTTCCCCTCTGTTACCACACATTGGCAGTGGATGGTTTTACCTCATAAATCATTTTCCTAATATCACTGATGCTTTGGTGACTACTTAATTCTATTGATGGGATAAATTGGCTCCACATAATTTTTTATTTTGTTTATGTTGTGATCAATATTTCTGAGTCACTTTTTAATTCAGTAACTGCCTCAAAGTTATCCTAAATGTTAAAATTAAGAAACAATGTTCAACTATAATATATTGCTGGCAAGCATCTGGGTTTTTACTTTCAGAGAGATTTCTGTCATATAACCATGATAGTGCAAAGTCCTCATTTTTCTTTTCAGATACCTTCACACATAATAATAATTGCATTGGTTTGCTTCATATAGTTAGAACTCAGATAATGCAGGGAAGATTATTCACAAGAGACTTAAATGATGGATTAGTAAGGGATGTGAGCTAACTCTGATAAAAACAAGAAACATTGGCCAAGAAATACAAAATCCATCAAGCTAATTTTGCTGACTTAAAATAGCTGTACTTTAATATTTTCCAGAATAAAGGAATGCAATTTCAAAGGGTAAAACAAAATCCTCCTATTTTTTAGTTGAAGGACTAAATACTTTAGTCCTTCAACTTTCAAAGGTAAATTCTTCATCATTTAGGACATCATTCAGTTGAGAAAGTTATTCAGTTTTGTCATGTTCATTTCATAACTAGCTGCCAAGTTGAATAGCTAAGACCATCAATTATACAGTTCAGTGTTTTAGTCAAAATCACAGAAGTGT